AAATATGTGAGTATTTTAAGGAGCTTCTTTTCTTTTCCTATTTTAAAATTCTGATTGAAGTCAGTTTCAGGTGGATTAATAAATTTTTGGATTGTCTTTGGTCTTAAAATCTCATCCAGTAGCTATTCGAGCTTTCCCTTTTCTTCTCTCACCTGGCTATCCTTGCCATGTGTTTATGGAAGAGTTTGTGTCCAAACCATTACAACTGTTCCAATTTGAAAGACATCCAGATTTATTTTTACAATGATGTTCTCGACAATGAAGTGGTCCATATTCTCTTCTCCACGAACATTTTTTGAAGTTGAAAATAGTATGCTCACTATCGACCTCGTCGGTTCCGCAACATATACTGGGTTTAAAGGAATAACGTTTTGTTTATTAGATATTAACTTATATTTTGAACGCTTAGGAATCAGGAATCCTTCTGATAAAAGCAAAACCGAATTTACCAAAATATATATAGAAAATACACATAAACATTTTTCTAAAAATGTTCGTATTAAAAGTTAAAACCTAATAAATAAAACGACTTTAAATAAGTTTCGATGTAACGATTCAAAACTAAAAAATAAAATCCTCTGTTGTTTTCATCCTTTTGAAAATATCTATGACCAGATAGGAACTATGTGACATTGTACATAATCTCACAAAAGCTCCTTTTTGTTCCCGATTTGATTTTTCGAATGAGATTTGCTGTTCATCTTCCTTTTTAATCCGATTTTCATCAGTTTTTAAAAAATCAGGAAGATTTGTTGTTAATGTTTTGAAAGTTTTTGGAATTGTTCGCCAATGTCTGTTCCCAACGTTGCCATCGTTGATAAGACTGTTGGTCAAAAGGGATGACTACGCTGATCATGATCATTAGAACTGCTGTCGTGGGTATAGTTCGGCAACCAAAAGCGTCCCGGAGTGCGACAGTATAAACAGTATAACTGTTTATTAAACGATAATATTGCAAATGGTTTTGAAAAATCTAAATGTAGCGCTATACCATAGTATTAGTTTTGTCCATCATCCATCATCTAATAAAATGGGTATCGTGACCCATTGTTGAAATAATACACTATATAAACTTTTTTCAACGCCTGGAAGAATTGTGAAAAAGTTGAAAATATTACATTTTTTAATCTTTTCATCCTTAATGTACTTACTGGTCATAATTATGTCTACAGAACTATAAACCAATAAACAACAATAAAATTAATTAATTTCGTGTGCACGTAAATTGTTTGTGGCCATTGATAAAAGTAAATTATTATAAATCATCGTTAAATAATCGAACAATTCAAGCAGAAATTGTTTGTTTCCTCTTAATACGTAGGAACTGCTTCATTACTTCCTGTTCGAGTATGTGCGAGCACAGCATTGCCAGGACAACAAGCATTGCCAACGCAAACGCAAACGCAAATATGTGTGAGTGGCGGCAAGAATTGTAAACACTTTATTAATGGCGTTTGGAGTGCAAGCAACGCCTGCTTGGGTTTCACATAGCAAATTCCTGCTGTGGCTTTGGCTATGCTGTGTTGTTGCTGTTATTATTTTGTTAATTTTCATTTATTGACCATAAGGCAATACGATTTCATGAACGATATAAATGAAGTAGCAAAGATTTAACCTGCTGCTCTACGGGCTCTACAGACTCTACGGACTATGCGGACTATGTGGAGTATGTCAAGTACTAAAGAGTTTTAAATTTGTATCAACGCCACGCGACCTATTTAACGTGGTGGCCAACCAATGTAGTTTCCATTGGTTGTGTATTTGCGGTAAACAGTGTCGGCAGTTTCGGTGAGTGTGTCCATATGAGTAACTATTCGAGCGGTAACCATATGTCGACATGTGTACGGGTATATGTGGTTTTGTTAAGGGTCACCATGCGTACAAATTATTGTTATTGGCTTCAGTGAAGTGCTAAAGCTATACTGATGTCATGGTTAAATTGGTGTTTCCTTTTGACCCTTTTATCAAACACTTAACGCATGAGCTAAGTATTTTAAAGTGAAGTAATAAAGCCGATAATCGCATGCAAGAGAACAGATTATTGAGCACAGAAAGTATCGAAACTATAATCTCAATCAGTTGCCTGCTTTTTAATTAGAGCGGAAGTAAGTGGCAAAGCAGTTTCTTTTTTGAAAAATTCAAATGAACTTTAAAAAGCAAATTTTTATTTAAATTAAAGATTTGTTTGTTTGAGCTTTTAAGCTAATAAAGCTTATAGAGGCTTTTAAAGCTATTTGAGATGATTTAATGTTGGCAATATTTCACTAAGGTGTAAAGCTCTGGATGGCTTTTAAAATACAAAGCTTTTTAAAACAGCTTTCAGAGCTTTAAGGATAATTAAATTTTAGAATAAGAAAATGTATTTAACATGAAAAAAGCTTAAATACTGTTAATTACTAAGCTTTAATTTAAGCTTTTTGGTTTACTGCTTTTAACTTTGACCGTTCGAGGAACTTAATTCGGATATGAAATTTGGAAGCCGTTTGCATTTATCCTTAATGCGGTTTAAAGGATGACGGATTGTGAGTTCTTAATGCAGTACAAAACCCTGTGACTTTTTGATTCTACACAAACGCTTTGAGGTTTTGTTTTTAAGCGCATTATAAAATAAAAAATATTTTAAAGTATATTGGCCAAGTTAAAGTTATCTATTAAAAGAGTTGCGTTTATAAAGTAAATTAAAGTAAATTAAAAAAAAGTGTTGTATTAGCAGGTAACATTTTATACAAAAATATCACAATTCTGAAATATAAAATTTGTATTTTTAATGGTTTTCTAATATGATTGACGGTTTTGAAATGCGTTTAATACTATTCTTTTTTTATTTCTTACTGCTTAAATTACTTAAAAACCAGCAAATAATTAATTTTTATATCCTAGAATGAGGATAGAATATAAAATAAGGACATAATGATTGAACTATATTTCGTAATAAAAGAAAGACTTTAAAATATTTGTCTGAAATTCTTTAGAAATCGATAAAAATTTTTAATCGCATTATATATCTCAACATTAGAACTAAAATGTTTATTCAAGTACATATAAACCTCAGCCAAAATCTATACAACATTCAAAGTACTAAGCCTCTTTAACTCAACTCTAACTCTTAATTACTGTAAGGGAAATTATCTCTATTTATTTCTAAGAGCTGACTTTAGTGAGTTCAAGTCTCACACTATGGTTGTTGATGCTTATCATCCAAAACTTCTTCTCGTTTGATACTCCAGTAACAGTGATAATAGCCCAGTTGATAAAAGACCTCTTCAAATAATATTGATTCATTATTTTTCTGTAAAACCTGTTACAAATCTTAAATCCTCTTTATATTAACTCTCACTCTTAATTATTGAAAAGAATATATATCTATTTATTCCTATGCTTTTACTTGGTTCAAGTCTCAGACTATGGCTGTTGATGCTTTCCATTCAATAACTTCTTCTCGTTTGATACTCTAGTGATAGTGACAACAGCCCAATTGACAAAAGATCTGTGCAAATAATATTGATTAATTATTTTTATCTAAAACCCGTTTCAAATCTTAACGCGGTCATGTGCATTCAGAGCACATTTTGTAATAAACAGCAGATCCAATCATCCTTACCAGTGGCGGGGATTCCTTTGTGATTTATTGTTAGTTCGCGAAAGCATAGACATATATTTGTCAAGGTAGTCTCGACGGTGGAAGGACCAGGTGACCAACGATTTGGGGGCGCTCGGTACTACCAAATGGCGTCAGAAAGCAACTAATCGGGCTGACTGGCGGAGGCTACTCGACGCGGCCAAGGACGACACACGTCTGTAATGGCCAACTAAGTAAGTAAGTAAGTAAGTCTCGTCCAGCTATTAAAAACAAATTTCCGGATTAATGTAGTGATTTTCTTAATATACCACTTAATATGCACTTAATGATGGAAAAATAGATTTTAAGCGGAAGTGCATTGAATATTGTATTGGAATCATTATTTAATTAATTTGCATAAATTATTTTTGTGGATCTCTAACCCACTTTCAGGCTGAGCCCATTAACATCAACATTTACACAATCTGGGTTTTATTCTCTTTTATAGCCATAAAAATAAATTTCAGAAGTACAAAATTTTATTAAAAATGACTGCCAAAAATGTATAATTAAATTTATCGAAAAAAAAACTAATGTAAATATAAACAAATTTGAACATAATTTGCAAATATTTACCAATTTTGTGTTTTACATTTAAATGTTTTCATTATTAATACTGTATCGTCCATATAAATAGAATATGTGTACTTATATGGTATTGCAGTAAATTCAGCAAGGGATTTAGACTTAAAATAGCAATTGATTGCTTTTCGCATTGTTAAATAGTTTGCAAATATTTCTAGAATTAAAAATCAATTTAAATAAATTTTGTTTAGCCATTTTTGTTTTTCTAAATTATAAATGTACCAACGGGGACAACTGATATTTAATTTAAAAATTTGTCGACAATAAATGAAACGTTTTATAAGCCTAAATATTCGCGTTTATTAGCGCGATATTAAAACAATTAAATACAATCAAAATAAATTAATATAGATGAACTCCGATACCAATGGTCAGGTCAAACCGCAGTGATAACGCCATAATATGTTTCGGTTTAAATTTGCATCCAAAAATACATAAATTAATTTTATGTTTTTATTTTCAATTGAAAATTTTAAGCAATAAAAATTTATATTGATAATTATTCTCTTAAATGGCAAATACTTACGTTTTCATGTTTTGCATCGAATTCAAATAAAAGTATATTTATCCGTTATATAATATTATTTATTTACAATTTTGTTCTAAGTTTATAATTACAAAAATTCTTTATTTAATTAGTTTCTTTCAAATGAAAATTAATACATATTTAATATTTAAATTTATTTAATTAAAATCGTTTAGTTTCATATTAAAATACATTGTTGCTTGGGCTTTAATCAAAATATTTTTTAGGTCATAGACTTTATAACGGAATTTTACTATATAAAATACATATATATTAACGCAATACAAACTAATTTTATAATTGTGCATATTACCTAAAACATAAAAATATTATTTCAAGTGCAAATTGATATAGAATTGATATAGAATCAATAAACTGAAGGTATCTTAATTTTTCAAAATTAATTGTCAAGATTTTCAGCCGTAGTAGTTGCCATTATATGGTGGTTGTGTTGGATAGCTTTTTGGACCATTGTTGTAGTTGGGAGCAGAATTACTGCTGCTGCTACTGCCAGATGAAGATGGTTTTTCACTAAATAAGCCACCAAAATTCTTAGAACCAAATATTTCACTAATAGCACTGCCTTGACCACCTGAACCACCGCCGCCACCACCACCAGCGCCGCCCAATAGACTGCCAAGGAAACTGCTTGCACTACTGCCACTGGAACCACTTTGACCACCACCGCCAGAAAGCACACTTCCAAGTAAACCACCTAATATACTGCTGCCAGATGAAGAGCCTCCACCACTGCTAGATGGATAACCACCACTTGGTTGATAACCACCGTTTGAGTTACTGCCACTACCTCCACCGCCACCACCACCTCCTTGTAAAGTTTTCGAAATTTGTCCAGCTAAAATACCAGATATTGCTTGATTGACTGCTGGATTTGATAAGAAGTTTGAGAAGAAACCGCCTTCCTTGTCTTTTGGTTTTTGTGATGGATTTTGTGGTGAATAACCGCCGCTACCGCCATTGCCGCCATTACCACCATAGCCAGGTGCTGGTGGTGTATAACCAGGTACAGGAGGTGAATAGCCAGGTGGTGTGTAGCCACCAGGATTGTATTGACCACCAGCAGGATTGTAACCACCACTAGATGGATTATAACCACCATTAGCTGGATTGTAACCGCCATTAGCTGGATTATAACCACCAGCTGCTGGATTATATGCACCAGGATTGTAACCGCCAGCATATGGGTTGTACCCACCATTAGCAGGACCATTATTGGCATTTGGAAGTGTAGGATACATACTATGTCCGCCAGCCGAAAAGCCACCACCATATCCACCATTACTATTTCCACCACCACTGTGTGAGTTGCCGCTGTGATCAGTATCAGGCGCACTAGGTGCTGGAGGATTATATGAATTGTGTGTACTGCTATGGCTTGCTGCTCGTGCATATATGAATTGATGTATTTGATAAATTAGGGCAGTAAGCAAAAGCATTTATTTAACCAATATTTAATTGCAAGTATAGTCGGTAAAGTATTTCCCAGAGCACAGCAAATTGCAGATTTTTAATTGCATTAAATTAGCCACATAAGCAATAAAAAAAGAACAGAAAAATATTAAGAAAGAAAACATAAAATGATTAATAAATGATTAATAAATTAAAAATGAAAAAATTATAAATACAATACATATATATTTCTTAAAAGTGAGATGAATTTATTTAACGTTTATTTTATATTTAATAACAAATTATATTTTGTTTGATTTTTAAAAAAAGATTAATTTCAATATAATAACTCAATTGACTAGTAGTTTTTCACATGATTACAATATAATATAATTTTAGAAAATCAAATAAAATTATTGTTAAACAATTAAATGCCTTCAACACACTTTTAAATATTTCCATTACAATATTATTAACAATTTTTATTATTATTATTATTTTTATATACTTTTTTGTTTTATTATTTAATACTATATTAAGCCTTACTGTAACACCTAGTACGTTTTTAATTATTTCTTTATTCTACTATCATACACAAAATACTGTTTAAGAGCGTTACTATAAAAATCTACACAACTTTTAGTTCACTAAGTTTAATAAGTCTTTAATTTATTAATATATAAATTTTAAAGCATTTTAATTATTAATTAATCTCATATTATTTATATATATTTACACGATATTAATCATATTTTAGTTATTGAATACATAAACTTGTATACGAAGTAAATGAACACAATTATTATAAATTCCCACTGTTAGCTGCAAAAAGTTGAAGATTGACTAAGTATATATATTTTTAAAATTTTAAAATACAATAAAAATTAAAACATTATAAACACTAATATGTTATTGTTAGTTATAATAAATATATTCTTGTGAAAATGCAAATGACACCACTGTAAAGCTTTTAATACTGTCGTACGCTACTGTTAAGTACTGCCATTTAACAGTGCTTCTCGCTGTTAATGTAACAGTGTATGCTGTGATGTGTGTGCATATAAATGAATGAAACGGACGGAGTTATACAAAATAAACATAAATGATTTATTATTATTATATTTTAATTAATATAATTTTGTATTGTTAGTAAAAAATGATTTCAAATGTAGAAATTTATATATTAAAAAATATCATATGAGAATTTTATGGCCGAAAGAGTTAAGAAAATGTTTTTGATTTTGAAAAAATAAAGTAGATTTAAATTTTTTTGTTATTAAATTATAAACAAATTTTAATTTGTGTATGCTGTAAAGATTTATTTAATATTTATTTATGTATTGTTTAATTTAAATACTAAAATAGTTATTTCATTATATTAGTTTATATACTTAACATTGAACATCTGCTTAAAATAATTTTTCTTACTGCAAAACTAAAAGTTTACCATAGTTTTGATTTTCTATTATATTTAAAGTTTGACTTTGTATAAAATAACATGTAGTTTTATTAGATGTAATTCATTTAATAAATTTTAAGTTAAAACTGTTGGAATTCTTTCGGGCTATTGTTCCTGGCATTGTTTGAGACGGCTAATATCATACATGAGCATTTCTAATTAATTTTGTGAAAATTTACTAGCTTCACCTTATTTTAAAATTTTGGGAATGAAAACAATATTAATAAAAAAATTTAAATTAAAATGTGTATTAAATATTAATATATTTAATATTAAGAAATAAACTGCACAAAATTTGATTTGATGAAAACTCTTCAACCTCATTGATGTGAAAGTGTTTGAAAGTAACACGAAATCTACGTTACTCCTTGAAACTTATCAAAGTTATCCAGAAAATAAAAGATTTAACAGAGCCGTAAACTTTTAAAATTCCCATAGGTTACATTAGATTTAGGTATGAAACTGTATGTCAAGCCCCATGGTAATTTCCATAATTCTAAACAGAATTTGTTTCCACTCTGAAAGAGATAAAGCGTAATAGCCACACTGTAGCCAAACTGTCGAGGTGCATAGAGAGAAAATCAAATTTTCTGAATTTTAGTCTATTACTTCATTTGTAGTTATACTCGGTTTAAACTAATTTTTGAAAAAAGTATGAAAAAATTTATTGTTGATTTATTTTTACTTAAAGTATAGATGAAGCTTAAAATGCATAAAATCAAGTAAATTCTAAAAAGAATACTCGAGTTCTATAGTGCTGAGATCTAGAGGAAAAAGGGAATTGAAATGTTGAAGGAAATTTTAGGTTTTAAGCACTCCTTAGATTAGTAAAAAGCATTGATTTTCTATAAAATGTTTATCACAAATCTACATAGTGGTCTCACTTCATCACTATTGTTCCCCTAGTATAATGTGTAGTTTACGGCCAGATTTAAACCTAAACTAACCAATATTTGAAGTTTCATTGATCATAAGATAATATTGAACTTTAAAAAAAAAGTTGTGGAAGTATATTTAAAGTACACAAAATTATAACTCATGTTGGTTCCCATCAGTAAGCGAAACTTTACATTAAAAATTGCTCTCTATGTTAATTTCATAAGTATCTGATAGATACTCTTATATCTATAAAGAAGGGGTTTTAGAATTTGAAAGCTATTGTTGTTCTTGTAATAAACTTGGCTGATATTAATAATAAAAAATAAAAAAAAAAGTATAATATGAAGCTAAAAATATTATTTAATTTGTTTTTTCTTTTTGAAAAACAAATATTCGTTTTAATATAGTTTTTTTAGGATTTCCTGTCTGTTTTAATTAAATACATTAATAGTTCGTTTGTTTTTAAATTTTATTTAAAAATTACCAATTATTTATATTAATAGAAATTTATTTACCTTTTCTTCTAATAGAATTAAATTCCTTATATTTTTTTTTAACTTTATATTTCAAAATGAAGATATATAACTTTTAATTCTTTAAAATTTTATACATTTTATAAATTAATTTATGTATATTATGAATTACACATATATATATGTATGTAAGTTAAAATTGTTGCTTTCTTAACTATTATCGTTGTTTAACATTCAAACCAATTGTCTTGTTTCATTTATTTTTTTTTTTTTCGTTTTTTTTGATAATATAATATGCATATTTTTGATTAATTTTCTTAGATTTTTAAATTTTTGTTTTATTCTTAAATATAAAATTTTGGCAAAATTATTTATATTTTGATTGACTGTTAACTTAATACAAACTCTGTAATGTAGATATTTTGCTGATCAGTTAAATTATCTGCTTTGAAAAAATACCATCGAATTTAATTATGATTTTATTTCATTTATATTAAGAACTTAATGTAATTAGAGACAACAGAACACAATCTGTTCGTTGGCTTTTAGTTGCAGGGTATGTGATGCCTGCTTTATAACTCAACTTTAATTCAGTTAAACCTCAAACTGAATTCGGTGATAGACCTCTGACAAGCACAGAAACATGAAATACAAATTTAGAATTACAACAGCACATGTACAAATGGAATTTTAACTAATCAACATCTATCGACAGAGAACTAATCGCAGATGCATTAGGCAGTAACACAGAGCAAAAATATGAGCTAGAATATTGCAGCATTATTACAATCCAAAACTTAAACCGCAAATACCTAATCAAACATAATGCGAACTGTTTTAGTTCAAAAAGGGAATGCAATAAAATATATTTACTCGTTGAATCCATACGTCGAGCCAAACAGAATTATTCTATCCTCTTTAATTGAGAAACTCACAACATTAGTAGAATTAGACAATGCTCACATATTACGAAGGATACTAAATTGGTAAAGTAATCCTTCATTATTATTTTTAGCTATTTTGTAGCATTTCAAATACAAACTTATGGGAAATTCAACTAGAGTCAAATGATAGAATTATTAATGAGTTTTCTAACAACATTCTATAACAAAATCAATAAAAAAATAACAACAATAACCAATAATGCAACAATTTAAAATTTTATTTAAATCATATTAAATAGTTTATTTATAGATTCAAATAGTTTATTTAGCTTTTGTAGTTGTGGCAGCTGTGGTTGTTGCGGCCGTAGTTGTATTAGTGCTTACTGTGGTAGCAACTGTGGCACCAGGAGCCATCGTGTAGTATATCACTCCAGAGCTATCAACAAAACTACCATCAGTTCTCTGCACTAATGTGTCTGCATGTACCTGAGGTATATAGGAAGCACTACCAACCGGCATAACTTGAGAGGTATAAGCTTGTGTATTTAAAGGTTGTAAAATATTTTGTCCAGTTGTCGGATTTGTTTGCATAACATAAGTTTGCCCATTTATGGTATAATAGCTACTTTGAGTCATAGGCTTGCCATTCACATAAGTAGAACTCTGCGCATAACCCAAACCGTTATTAGGCATCGTCAGTTGTGACATTTGGCTGCTAGTAGCATAGCCAGTAGTTGGTGGTATACCGTTATTCCATTGTGCTTGTGGATTCAGGCCATTGGGACTCCAATTTGTGTTGGTATTCGGATAGGGTCCATTCCAAGGACCGTTATTGCCAAACGGTGGCGGACCATATGGACCATTATTACTGCCTTGGTTATTGTAACCACTTGGACCCCAGTTGTTTCCACCATTAGGGTTACTATTCCAACCATTATTATTGTTATTCCAATCATTATTACCCCCCCAAGGTCCGTTACTGGGTCCGTTACCCCAGTTACCTCCATTTCCACCACCTCCATTATTATTCATGCGGTTATTAGGGTTATTATTGTTATATCCCATTTGACCACCACCCTGGCGTCCATTCATGCCTTGTCCCATTTGAGATCTATTCCCCATACCATTTCTATTCATACCACCATTTCCATTACCTCCTCCGCCATTTCTATTCATACCTCCATTTCCATTACCTCCTCCGCCATTTCTATTCATACCTCCATTTCCATTACCTCCTCCACCATTTCCATTGCCTTGACCCATTCCATTTCTATTCATACCATTTCCTTGACCCATACCTTGGCCGCCATTTCTTTGTCCTTGTCCTTGTCCTTGTCCTTGACCCTGTCCACCTTGGCGACCCATATTCTGACCCTGTCTTTGACCCATTTGATTTGCTTGACGTTTTTGACGTTCATGGTGTTCTGGATCATTAACTGAACGCTTTTTTCTGCTAACAACGTCAGAACTTTGAGTGGATGAAATTTCATTCGTACTCTCATAGTCATAATTCATTGAATCGCTCATGTTGTTATTTGATTGATTATATTTGCCATTATTGGTGCCATGTCGTCTATTATAAGGTCTACCATTGCCCCAATCACCTCCTCCGTTATAACGGTCTACACGCATGTTATTATTATAGCCATTACCGTTGCCATTTTGCCCGCCTTGTCTTCCATTTTGTCCTTGTCGTCCATTCATATTTCCCATTCCCTGACCTGAACCCATTGGTCCCTGCCATCCATTTCCTCGACCATTGCCCATACCATTACCCATGCCATTGCTCATACCATTACCCATTCCATTACCCATACCATTACCCATGCCATTTCCCATACCATTACCCATTCCATTACCCATACCGTTGCCCATGCCACGACCCATTCCATTCGGCATGTTATTACCCATGCCGGGACCTAATCCATTCCCCATGTTATAACCCATACCATTACCCATATTGCGATTCATGCCATTAGGCATATTACCCATGCCATTTCCCATTCCGTTGTTCATTCCGTCACCCATACCATTGCCCATTGCGCCATTTCCGTTTCTGTTGCCATATCCCTGACCCATACGCTGGCCATTACCGCCGCCATATTGCTGTCCTTGTCGGCCCATATTTTGGCCTTGTCGTTGACCAATTTGATTATTCTGACGCTTTGCGCGCACATTCAGTGACGATTCGCTAAGTAAAATTTCGTTTTCTGGAAATTAAAAATTCATATTCTTGTATTAGACCCACTACGACTATTAGTTATCATCTCTGCTTATGTGCTTGCAATTGGACAGTGTAAGAAAATTAACTTGTACGATATTTTTTACCTCTTAACTATAAAATTTTATTACAAATGATTTTATATTACAAATAAATTAACACTTAAAATAAATTAAACAAAAGTTTGTGCGTCCATCTCCCAGCTCAACCATAATAGTTATAATTATTATAGTTATTATAATTGTTATCGTAATTGTAGTTCCCATAATTGTAGTCCCCATAATTGTAGTTCCCATAATTTTGATAATTATTTCCATAATCATTGTAGTAGTTATAATTATAGTTTGGTATATTTGGTCTTTGAGTTGTTGTTGCATATGTTGGGTAAACTATGTTTGGCCCAATTGTTGGATAAGGGTAAATGCCTGGGGTACCATAATAAGAGTAAGGTATACCTAAATTTGTGTTAGGCAAATATCCTGTACCAACTGGTAGTATTACTACAGGCTTTATCACTATTCTAGTATTGCCGCGTGGGCGATTTGGATAAGAAAATACTACCCTTCTAGATCCAGGACTTCCTGTTACAACCGGTGGAGCTGCTAAAGGATAGACCGGTTGCAGTGGTCGTATAGTTTGTATAGGTTGTATTGGTTGGATTGGTATAGGTCGTATGGGTGGTGGTACCTGTGGAATAGGTTGGATTGGTCTAATTGGTCCACCAATTGGTACTTGAGGTACACCAGGATTCAATACTAAAACTTGTGGTGAACGTTGTGAGCGATAATTTGTTTTTGCCTTCATGGAGGATACAGTACTGTGCATATCAACTTCTTTGTAGATTACTAGGGGATCCAAAGGATCAATTTCAGAATTTGTTTCAGCCATTAGAGCTGTAATAGAAGACAACAGAAGAAGTTGATCAGTTTATTCATTGAGTTACTATTTGGAGTGAAAAGTGCTAAGCAAAATAAGACAAATACAAAAATTTTACATGAAAGCCTAAACAAGATTAAGATAAAAGAGGTAAACATTTGAGGGATTACGTCTGTAACTCGAGCCTACAGGGTAATAATATGGATTACGATAGCCTCTGCTTGGCTGGGGATAATATTGTGAATATAAAAGTTGAGGATTGTTTAAATAATACTGATACGATTGATAACCATTTGTGGTATACACAGGGTTTCTATTAGCGGTTGGATAGGACACAGTTTGTGGGTACTGAACTTGTTGATAAGGATTATAAACATATTGTGGATTACGACGCTCTCTTATGATTATAACATTAGTTTCATCTTCAGCAGATTCACTAAACATATTAATTGTGTCAAGACCCAAAGCGGTCTGCAGTTTACTTGAAGTAAAGCGTAGTTCTGGAAACAAGAAAGAAAATTAAATTGCGTTAGATAGGGTACATTAGGTAGTACAATTTTATTAGAAAATATTCGCAAATTTAGATCTTAATATACACTAAGTATTGATTATTATAGTTGGGTTTGACATTATTTGCCAAAGGGTATTGAATTTGTCTACCAATAGGATTAATATTTGTATTACGCGCTAAAAGATTGTTAGGATTTGAGACCAGAAACGGATCACAACGATAGAAACACGGAACAACTGTGGGAACTATTTGTGGTTGCATTGAGTTGGGCATTAAAACAGGGTTGCTATATGGAGGGACGGCAATTGGATTTTGAACTGCATTGGCTGGTAAATAAAATGGTTGTTGTTGTTGTTGTGGTATTGGAGGTAGAACGGGCTGTTGACGCGTTGGAGGATATACTGCTTGGTTACAGGGTGCTGGTATGGCATTATAGCCATTAAAATTTGGACCATTACACGGTTGTTGCACAACAACTACAATATTTGATTGTCTCTGTTGTTGATATGGTAAAGGTGGCATATTAACTTGCGAACTTTGTACACCTGCAATAGTGACCACCTCACTATCTAATTTTGGAAAATCTGAGTTATTTATGTCAGGTAATAATTGAAAGTCGGTATTATTATAGTTCATGCTTTTATACTCATTCTCACTGGTTAATAAAGTTGTGCCATTAATTGTATCAAGCATTTCAATGTAGTTAGAATTGGCACTATTGACATCTGTTATAAGATTGAAATCTGAAATAGATCAGATAATTAAAATGTTATGAGAATACATTTGGAAGGTTAATTGGGCAATAAAATTAGGGTGCATGTTGGGAATCTAAGCAGATTTTAGATGCAATAAGAAATTGTTTTATATCTAAAAAAGTCAGATATAATTTTATAAAATCATTATAAGAAAAATTGTGGTATTATAATTGTTAAAGTTTTGACATGAGCTGCTTAATTGCATATAGAGTAATGTGGTTGCTGCGAGAGCTAATTAATTTTCTGTACTTTTCAGATGTCATTTAATTAAATGTAGATTTATAAAATTTAGTGTTAAATTTAATTTATAAATTTATAAAAAATTATAAAAATTCGCATTTCCCTTAACTGATCAGCTTTTAAAATACTACATGTGATTTTTAATATTTAACTTCACAACTGTCTTTAATGTATTGCATGTACTCTGTATGACCCTTCAGAAGCCTGAGCTTTAAAATTATTTTATAATATGTAATAAACTACTTACACTAAACTTTCATATGCACATTAATAGAAAAAATATAGCTGTTTCATTTACAATAACAATAGTTAAAAAAGTGATGAAATAAAATAATATTTAAAGAGAAACAATAATAAGTGATAGAAATATAACTGAAATAAAATTTTAACTGCAATTCATTGAATTTAATAAGAACATTACGTGCTGTGCCTGTAAAGAAATTGTTGCGACAAAACAACCAACACCGCACACCCGATTGTCACAACAGCCAAACTCTGCCATTTATCAATCGCACCACCAAAACGAGCAGCCGACGATGGATACGATTGAGTTTGCCGATTGTAGGGATTTTGATTTTGATATTGTGGTGGTGGTTTATTGTACATATTCGGATTTCCATAACTGCCATATGGTGCCAAGCCTCCACCACTGCCGCCAAGTATACCATTACTGCCGCCTGGTGGACCGCCTGTGCCTGCTGGACCTGAGTAGAAAGGCTGCTGACCGAATACGAACGGTGGATTGTACGGATTCACCGGCTGCAGACCATGTGGATAGCCTGGATTTAGGACACTACCTGGATGATTAGGTTGTGGAAATTGTTGAAAACTAGGTGCTTGTGTGGGTGAATTAAAGGGAAATATAGGCAAATTTGGTATGACCGGTACAGATTGTGGTGCACCGAATACATAATGCGGATCAATGACTGATGGGTTAGGGCGACCGTTTTGATTGCTTGTTATGCCACCGTTAGCGCCGTTAGTTTTATGTATATAGCCATTATTAATGCCAACGCCAGTAGCTGTTGAAGCTCCACCATTACCATTCTGACTTATATATGCGTGATTGTTAAGTGCTGGATTTGATGAGCCTGGTGAAAAAATAGTATTTTCGGGACCAGGTTTAATACTGGATCCTGTTCTCATGAAGCGTTAAAGATATGTGTGCATGACGTGTGAAAGATGAAAAAATGTGCAATAGCAATAATTTTATAATTCAAAAGAGAAAGAGAAAATACAAAGATATGTAGTTAATAATGATTTAAACTAGAATACGAAGGTCTACAGGAAATAAAGATTCAACAAGCATGCAAACAATAACTGAAAGGTCTTTAATATGTAAGTTTAAACTACTGGGCACTAAAATTGAAAATTTATGTAACAAACAGCAAACACAATTTACATATAAAACAAATGATTGCTATGATGTATGACGCAAATAATAATATTTTAAAAAATCAAAAACTTTTAATACAATTTTAAAAAAAATATCCGATTGCTTAGAATATATGGTCTGGTTTTGCTAAGCTTGGTGGCAATTTTTTATTTATTTGCATATGTGTTCCTGTATTATTAATTTTTGTGATAGAAATGAAATGTTTGCAAAATGTAAGCACCACAATTATTTCCAAATGTTATGGAATTGTATGTGTTAAGCAAATATATCTTAAAATAAACCTTCAGCTAATATAATTTGCACCCAATAACTTGTAAAATTGCGATTATATGCTAATAATTTGTTATTATTTGTAACATAAGTTCTGACAATATATCATATTCTAGTTTTGAAATACTTTTTTTTGGATAATAATCTTTTCTACGATGTAGCGATGTTTTCAGTTTGCTCTAAATAATTATTTTAATTAATTAAAAAATTTTTTTTCACTAGAATATAAAAAAAATCATTTTTACTAGAATCTTAAGTGGCCAAGACTTGGCAAGTTCGGTATATGACAAAATATGTTTCTTCTTAACAATAGGAAACCTATTCTAAGCTAGCAACTGATATTAAAAATCAGAACGTTTAACAATAAAGAAAATACTTAGAGTAATATATAAGTAATATTAGTATGCTGCATATGTCTAACATTACTTTACACCTAACAACTGATATTAAAGATTCGAATCCTTTACCACAAACCCATCATAAATGAGTGATATATGAGTTTCACTTAGTAAACATTATTCTAAACTTTATAAATGTGATAAAAAATCAGAATCTTGAATTCTAGGAAAGCAACTATAAATACAACATAAACTGAAGAACTTACTAACTTAATACCTACATTAATAGCTGGGTGGTACCAGCGTGTTTAAGTTTACTCTACCCATTTTCTTGTTTTGAAATTTCTAAATGAAAGACTGCAGAATTAATAGCTTTCAGAAATCCCTATCATCTACCTACTTTATCAATTATTGTGGTATCAAATAAAAATCAATTAACTATTTATCCTAATAAATAAATATTTGTTTTAAAATAAACTTACTTTTGGTTTAGAACTTAAGACTTAAAAACAGAAATATCAAAAAATGATAAAATAATCACCTGACGGATTTACAGGCGCAGAGGAAGTGTCACTGCTCTTCTTCTTGCAAGTTGGATAATTGCCGCATTCCTTGCCTTCACGTTGAGTATAGCTACAAGAGTCGCTGGTGATAACACACTCCTCATTGGGCAAACAGCCAATATCTTGACAGCCACGTCCATATTCTGGATAGTGGCATTGCAGTAGTTGTTTCAATAATTCAATTGCATTTTATAAACGCAAAATAATTATAGATATTTAAATAAAAAAAAAATAATATAAAATATATTTAAAAAAAAAAGGAAGGTATAAAATAAAATAAATAATAAAAATATTATTTAAAATTGAATGATTTTACATTGATGAGCAAAACACACTTATTTACAGTGTACTTAGTTAAGTCTTAGTCTTTTGTGAGAGGAAGTGCTGGATTTAAAGGATGTTTGGATGTGTAGTTGAACTGGCAGTATGATAAGTGGGTTTTAACTGGATTTTATTGTAGGGATTGTATAGCAAGTAGGAAGTTCATATATGTGAATTTTAGAAGTTTATATTTGTAGTTTTAAAAAAGTGAAATAACATTAATAGAAATTTTAACAATTAATTTTTTTTAAAACAATTTAACATTTAACTGTAAACGAAATGCAGTTTGCCTTTAAAAACATTATAAATATTATAATTAATTTAGTAAACTGCATTGCTTTTACAATTAAAAACCGAAAAATTGAGAACATCGAATATGAAAAAGAAATTAAGTTTTAAATATAATAATATCGTTTATACATACTTGAATAGGAATTGGCGGTGTTCAATATGCAGAACAGAAGAACTGCGCAAGTAGTTAGGCCTACGCCACCCATTTTTGGCAACATTTTTGCCTAATTTACTTTACAGGTTCCGTGAATATTATTGATATAGTATAGATTATACGCAAATTGTAGTGATGTTTTTAAGGCGTTATTTCATACAAGTTTGTTTCCTTAGTGCAATTTTTTTATAACACTTCGATATCTGCAATAAAAAAAAATAAAATAAAAGTAATTTAAAGAAATTTATTAGAATTTTGTGCCAAGCTATTGAAGCATGTTAATGTGAATGACATTATAATGGCAATATATATTCCTTTTCAAATAACCTTACTCCCAAAAATATTTGCGCCAATGCGGTTACATTTATAGTTTCACATAAATCAATGAAGAGGAAGATAATAAAAGTTTGCTACGAAGTTGAAGTAATTGAACTACGTTTATATATAAAACATAGTAAGGGTTTTAAGTTAGATAATATTTATATTAATAAATTGTTATTTTCATAGAACTCAAACAATTTAAAATTCCATTTTATTATTCATAACATTTTATAGACCTTAATCAAGGAATTGTCACTTATCACTATTTACTCAACAAATTGATTATCCATTTTCTTAATAGTTTTTATTTTTTTGAAAATTATCCTGTTTATATAGTATTGAATATAATCCTTTATATGTGATAATTTATTTTTCAATTTTACCTTCACACGACACAATATATATTCGTGAATAATCAAATAAAAGTCTGAACTGTGTTGTAAATTTTTGGCTGCGCCTTTTATACTAAATATTTTTAACTCCATAATTATTTGACGTAATATCGATCCTCTGTTTTAAATTAAAATTTTAGCTCAGATACCTTTCAACATTATTAAATTTATGATATCCTCATTTATTTTAATTATTTCCTATAAAGTATTAAATTCATTTAACGAATTTGTGTGTACGAATATGCCGAAATATGTAAGCCCCTGTGTACTCGTACTTCACCAAGCAGAAGTATTGATAAATAGCTTTTCCGGGGATAGTCATAGACCATTTAACAATTTGATATTCGTGCTACCGTACTACCGCCGAGTTTTTATTCTGCATAAATTGTTCAGCTACTGTGCGTAAAAATTAATTTAATAACAATTTTTAATTGCTCTGTGTAAAATTATCATATTTTCTATACACGAAACGGTTATTGTATATTAAATTGATTACAGCTTTGACATTGCTGGATGTGTAATTGAATTTCGGTTCAAGAATTTATTGCGAAAGGTTGAATGAAAATTATTTTTCACATTTATTTCTATTTTACTAAGTATAATTAACATTTTTGCGTTCAAAATTTTTAATTAGTGAAACTTTGAGGTTCAATATAACACTGACATTGACTGATTTCAATCTATATTTTATTGAAATTTGACAAAATTAATAAACATTTAATTTTTAGTTTAAATTTTAATAATCATAATTGTATTTAAATAAAACGTGTAAGTGATTAGATTTTTTTTCGATGAAAAAACTTTAAAGCTGGAATGAGAGCCTTTTTTGCAATTTAGTTCATTTTACTTCAATCATTAATTCGTGCAATATTATATAAAATATAATATTGTAAATATTATTATTATAATATATTATTTATAATATATTATATATTATAATATTTGTAATAATATATGTTATTTATATGATAATATATATTACAATATATTATTTATAATATATTATTATAAAAAATTGTTATGAAATTTAAAATTGTTTTAAAAAAACAATAAATTTATAAAAACTTAATTTTATACTACCCGTAAAATATCACGTCAAAGTATCTACCATTTCACAAACCACAAACTAAATATACTTTTTTTGTTCGGAATTACACTGTATGTTATACAGGATTATCAATTTTGTGTTTCTAAAATAAAACAAAATAAAATAAAATAATGAAATTAAATTAAATAAATCCTTAAGTAAATACACACATATAATTGAGATCAAATTTTTAATTTCAATATCAATTATAAGTCTATTTTATAGTTTTTTAACTGAATTCATTTTTAAAGTTCGGTTTGACAAAAGAAACTAAATTATTAATATAAACTATTTTATCGAACAGTAGTGAATTGCAACAACAAAAATTTTTAATATTAAAATAATATTAATTAATTGAATTTTTGGCTGACCATACAGCTGTTTTGAGTATTGCTAAATATCCATTATTAGTGGTCTTAAATCCATCAATTATTTAGTGCTCGTAAATAATTTCTTTAATATTTTTTTAATTTGATTTTTAAAAACGAATATAATTTTTATAAATAGCTGTTTTTATTCTAAACTGTTATGAACACTTGCTGTACAGCAAATTATACAGAGCAATGCTATTTACATCTTAAATGCAACTGTTATTAACAGTGTGATGACATTGCTTCGTACTCTCATATTTAAAACTAAATTGAAGTATCAGTACGGGGAAGGAATGCAGTTGTAGGAAGACAAATTGATTTGTTTACTTTTTAAAATTCATTATGATGAACTCATTGTTTCGTTTAATACAGTGCAATTTTAAATTAATTACGGTCAAACTTTCATTAATCGAACTTCTATAATTTGAATTTTCTATATCTCGAACTAAATAAGATGCAGAAGGGTTTAGAGAGCAAATTATATACAATTAAAAAAAATTCTTCAACTCAAAATCTCCATAAATCGTACCTAACCTTTGCAAAATGGTACTTCGAGTTATGGAAGTTTGACTGTGTATATAATCTACAAGGATATATTGATTACATCCTAAAACATTCAAAGAAATTATTATAATGTTAAGTATTAAAGACTAAAATCGAGAAGTAATTTTTTTAAAATTGTATTTGAAAGATATAAAAATATCTTGAGACATTAGTGAAAGCGTTTCTAGTATTTTTTTAGTATTTTAGTATTTTTTTTTTTATGATATCGTAATTTTCTTTTATACAACATATGATCCAAGATATTTTCATGAGACTTTCACGACTTTGATAACAGCTGTATTTAAAAACTCACAAAAAAGTTTAACATTTTTCAAGGAAACTTGATATTTTTTATTTAATAGATTTTTCCACAAAAATATACAATCAAATAAGATACTTTTTTCAGTAAAAGCAGTTTATGTTTTTAATGCATTCACATCAATTCATTTACAAAAACTTTTTTGTACTCTTCAAACATATTTAAGGGATATTATCTTGCGGTATGAAATCATAGTACACAACTTATTTACATATTAAAACAAATATTAAGGTTTGCTCTACTCAAAAGGGTACAAATATGCTAAATATGTAAACCCTTCGAGCGGTAAACAAGTGAACGCTTGAGTTGTCAGCAAAATGTTAAGCAAATATTTAGCATATTAACAAGACCCGGTGAAGGAGAAACATGTGTCAAAACAGGGATACCTAATTTTGTTTATTATTGGCCAACAAAAGTGTTGCAAAAGCGTTGACTAGGGTACTTAACCCTTCAACACTTTTCAGTTTCTGCTGACAAAAGTAATTGATAAGGAAATATGGAAAAGCAAGATAAGATTTTAAATAGATTCTGTTTGTTAAAAGTTTCGCACAATTTCAAAAGAAAAATAGATATATTCAACTTTTATTTATCTAAGAAGTTTTTAGAGAGCTTAGAGTAGAAATTTATATTTATTCTATTTATAAAATCTGATTTAATAATTATTAAATCATTTTTTATTAACAAAGAAATTATATTTTAAATTTCTTCTTGTGTGAAAAAAGTGTTTAACAATATTCATAATAAAGTGAGAAAGATATCTGAAAGATATGAAAGATATACTACCCATATACAATATGGTTTGGCGGCGCTGATCTTTCTATTTATCTTCTTGTCAATATAAGAAACAAGTGCGGGATTTTAACTAATTAAATAAAATGTGGATTATTTTATGTATTTTAATAACAGCATAGTCGACAGAATGAACTCATTGACGGGATCACATGCAGACCCTGTTATCTGACGCCAGTAAACTACTTTCTGTGAGAGCAGTCGAAATCATTGGCTTACATGTGATTCAGCATAATTTAGAAAATACGTCCTTAAATAATAGCAAAAGAAGTAGTAAATTATTCTTTTAGAAGTTTACAGTCTCTCAGACTTTTTTCAATGGCCATATGCTCGAAACTATTTCCTTTTTTTGAATGCAATAAGCAGATCCATGAATTAAAACAAACAATAACTTATTTTATTTATTATTATTGTTAGGGGATGTAGCACTGCGACCATCGGGTCTATTGTACCTTTATTTTACGTGTTTATTTTATAACACATGTGTTTTTTTACATGTTTTATTTTTATATAAAATTCTGCACCTCTTCAAATGACATCATTTCATATGAACTAAAACTAATTAAAAACTCATTGCTCGTTATTTCTTTCAACTGTAAGTAAAATAAATACAAAAAGTACAATATTAAAGTTTTTATTAAGAAAAAAATAAAAACAAATAAAAAATTATGTCATTTAATGAACAAAACAGAAATTGTAATATTTTGAATATAAAACGCCTTTGAATGGTTTGTTTAAATAACTTAAAGACATTTTTATATCCCTATATTTATATCCTTTTATATTCATTAAAACAATATAAAAACATTTATTGAAGTGTGTAGGATGTATACGATTTGCTTAAAAAATTTGTACAAAAAGTAATAAAGAACACACACGTTTCCGGTTAGAGTAAACTGTTCAAGTTTTATGTTCCTTCAGCTGTGATTTACTTTGCAATAAAAATGCTCAGATACGACGAGTGCAACAATAAAACAAACATGCCGAACTATTTACACTTTGCGGAAGTAAAAATCAACACGAAAAAAGGAAGGAAACAAGTTGTGCCAGCAGTTAACGCCTTACAACATTATCTGCACTGGAGTACAAGGGAACACGCTGTGCCACGCCATTTTCTTGTAATCATAAAGATTTTCTTACGCTTAAAAAAGTTCAAGTGTTTTCTTTGTATCAAGACTGCAACTTCGACATGTGCTGGTACCAGGACACAGCGCCGACATCAGCGCAAAAAGGAGCTCAAATTGCTATACAACAGCTTTTTGTTCCCAACATTGTTACTCATAATCCTTTTTCAAATACTCGTTTATTTATCATATGTTTTAACAGCAGATATGGCAAAGTACTTGCAACTGTGCTGAGCTCGAATGTATTT